CTGACTCAACGCCGATCTAATCCCTTCCCTCTCGGAGATATTCTCAATAGACTACGCGGATGTGAACGGTTAGAGGCTAGAACAGATGTAAAGTAACTCTGAACTTTTCTGCTATTTCACAGAATTCGTTTCGTAATCGTTAAAATCAAGTTTCAAGTTCTCTAGCCAATAGAAAAGATTATATTTTATGTCATTCAACGGTTTTGTTTATTACTTCTTAGTGCATATAATGGCATTGTCTCTGAGTAAAGTATTAATATTGTATTCCAAGATAACCAGCCCTCATTGTCTTGCCCGTATACAAGGGCAAAGTTTTTATTGTTTTTCAATGCATAGCGTCTTTAATGTTTCGTTAAAAGATGCATAGAGTCATCAATAAAAATAAAAATCTAACACTGTTGAATATTATGGCTACAAAGATATGGTATTGCGTGTGGCGAGAATGTGTATTTGCATATGTTCTGTGTGTACCTAATGTTTTAGTATCCAAAAACCTAACTATTATTATGTAACTAGCAACCTTATAACATGCTTACAATACAAATCGCCATTTTTACCTTCTCGGTTTTTTTAAATAAAGAAACTATTAAAATTGCACTATGCACATTCGTATACTATAGGCCACTCGGCTTTTTCAATGCGCTGGTCTATATTGCCATCAACTTCCCAACTGCGATCTGTTACTGATAATTTCTTCAACAGGTAAATTCTATAATTCTTTTAGCTTTACAGCCTTATAAGGCTATAGATACTAGACCAATGGCAGAATACACATATAGATATAATGAGCCTGATGAATATAAATTTACACGATCGACGCGATTGTCTGAATGATTCATGTGCGGCTAATTTCCTCAGTATACCTACATATAATTAGCTACTTATTCCTGTGCATAAAGACCTCGCAAAACGTCCTCCCGGCACCAGAAAGAAAACATCACGCGTATCGTAGACGATAATAATAATCCTCGTAGTTAGATAAAATAACTTACGTCGTATGATTAGATTTCACACATGGTTAATATTTTTAAGCTTGTTTTGCTATTAACTATTATTGTTGATTAATAATAATTATCAACAAATAACTATTATTTGTCGACGTAATATTTCTTTAAGGGAGCCTTGGGAAATAGTTAACCTTCTTGCCTAACCACCATGACAATGATTTTCCCACGGCTAAAGGTGTTCAATTGTTGTGGACGCCATGTCTATATCTATTGCGTTTTATTTAAAATATTATTTAAAGATTATTTTTAAATGTGTCCGTAGAAAGACAGAATTTCAACCAATTAAAGAGTTTAGGAAAAGAAATAAAAATGTTTATTTATGTACCTATATTGTCAAAAAACTTGGAAACACGTTTTTACTTTGGCCGTTGCGCAGTTTTATTGGTACCTCTAGAAGTCACGACGCCATTATGGTTGGAGGTCGAACGCCTGGCATTGCCAAATTTGTAGGTGACGTCACCGGGCCTCATTTCGTTTCAATAGAGAATTTTAAATGTACTAAGTCTTTCATTTCCATTACTTGTTCTTATATTTATATTGAATATGGTCTAGGTACAATCTAAGCAAAGGAAAATGTACAACAAAGCAATAAGTATCTTTGAATATAAATATTTTAGTTTCTAATAGGCAAAGAGACACCAAAAACGGTCACGTTGTAAGTCTCTGGTCGATGTTTTCTTAACGAGTGACAAAGAACATCTCAAATGACTCTGGTGTTTACATATATTAATTACTTTTCAATTATTTATTTACTTTCCCTAAACACGAAGTAATTTAGTATCTTAAGAGATTATACTACTTATAATGATTACTAATACAATACACTTTCAAAACAACATTATTCAAAGAAATAATTCTTTATTTTAAAAATAGTAAGCTAAATCAATGATAAACCTAGAAGTACTTGTGTTCATTTACTGCTAGACACATAACCTCATTTATTTGTTTGTTAATTCACTTACTGAGTTTCTTCGCGATCACGTCGCATTTGTTAACATTCAAAATATGTAATATTTTCCATATTTTGTAGAGTTCTATTGAGTATTATTTTACGTTGTAAGGCATTTTTTCCTATTAAAACTGTAAATGAGTGCACATACTTAAGCGATACCCGGTACAAGGATCTCGTTTCACGTCGTTTGTCCGCAGAAGTTGCACAATGGACATTGTGTTCTTTGCCTTCAGAAAAGCAAAGAGAGCCTTCACATACTGCGATGATACAGAGCTATTGTGTTGCTTCGCTAATGCGCAGTTTGGGTCGGATGGAATTCTTTTTTCCATTATATACGAGTGACGTCAAATTCTATAATTCTGATTCTAAGATGGTGGTGGAGTAAGAATATCAGAAGAAATAGAATCAGATATATTTTGAAACAAATAAAAATGTCCTATGGTGTTTTCATTACATTCACTTTCTACGTAAAAATTTACATAAACAGCGGGTATCAGCGAAGTTAATGACAAAAATGAAAATAAAATTATATAAATTATATTACCACGTTTTCTTGTTCTAAAGGAACCGAAAATAGTCATTTTGATTGATTTAGAACCTAGTCATAGCCCTTTAGATGCCGCAATTCAGTCAAATTCGTCAGTGTAAAAATAATCAGTAGTAGAAAAAATTAAGTATATCTAGATGGCTATGTACCTAAAGGTAGAATATAACTTTTAGGAAGACTTAACTTTTTATAAGAACTTAATTTGACATTTATCTAAATTCTTTTTAAAATTCTATCCTTTACTTAATAATATTTAAGTTTACGCTTTAGTATTGATTGCAGCTTTCCAATTCTCTAGTTGAAATAGAAAAAACATTGCTTTCGCAAGTCGGTGTGGAGTGACACCGAGGCGGATAGAAAGCTTGCGCGACCTCACTTTCACCACTAGCCTGATACTGATACGATGACTCGAACCGCAGTAATATGCTAAGAAAACCTTCTTCATTCATAACTTCATTTAGTTGCAGGTAGACGTTAACCTTTTTCCGCGGCCTCGCGTTCGCTTACTTCAGGTTAACATATGACTCGGTAGTTTATTTTATAAGAATCTTACCTACATACTTCGCAAGACGATTAAATAAGATACTATACAATTATATCAAAATCACTGCCAGACACATCCGTTGTTTATATGAATAAATATATAAAATCAAACAAGGTAAATGAAAAATAATTATACGGATTCAATGGAGCGCGGCGCTCTACTTTTTACTTTGACTTATTATAAATATTAGTTTAGGTGTACCTAGTGGTACTTTGTACTTGATGGATGTTCATTTAAGAGGATTATTGTTTATTTGGGACTATTATCAATGGAATCCAATAAGTAAATAGCACAAAAGTTTCTTCTCCACGAGAGAAGAATAAACTCTCACGTACTAGAGCTACGCATTTTAAGTTACAGACAACAAAGGGTTGTGCTTAAAAAGGGTTTTATGAACAAACTTTAATTTCTATTGTCCCCTGTCGATCTTAGCAGCATTATACAGGCAAGAAACGAGAAGAAATAAAATTGTTAAACTCTCAAAAGTGATTTTAATTATTTTCGTTGCCCCAACTTGACCTACGTCTGTCACTATTCTTACTTCATCTCCTTTCATCATTCCCTGATGCAAATACTTGTTAAAAAGCTTTCTGTATAAATGTTAAATAATCGTAGCTATGAGTATGGTTTAAACTCGATGTTTTTTAAACTCTTTTTGAATTTTAAGACGTTTTTGACAATTCATGAAATTTAAATTAATAAACAATTTAGTATCTTTTATTTCATACATATTTATAATCTCTCAGTTTCTAGTTCGTTAATATGCGTAGGCGGAATGTAAATAAGTTCTTAATAAAATATCACGTAATTTTATTAAAAATAAAAATGAATTGATTTTTGTATTAGGCTTAGATTATTAATTATAGGTGTATAATCTAAGGTATTAGGTATGCTCAGGTTTCCAATTCATGTTCCAAATACTATGGACATCGAGTCAATCGTATGTAGCGGACGGAAAAATAATTATCATTTAATAAATAAATGTTATCAAAATAGACATACCACATTTTTAGTTACGTATGCACTCTTTAATGTTTATTTTTGAAAGCTACCTTCTAATAACATACTTGGTACATATTATGTACTAAGGTGGCATCTCAAAGCTGCTTTTTAAATTTAAAATAAAAATGGACGAACCAAAAGTGCTTGGAAAAGTCTATTTGGATAAAGTACCTATAGATTTAATTAGATTAGATTTTTTTTTGCTTTGAAAAAATTGTTCATCTAACTTATTGAGTCAATTTATTCGGTGCCAATTGATTTCCAATAACTGCTTACAATTGATACAGACGAGACGACGCATGCGGGACCCGCTCAATTGTTTAATCAACAATCGACTGTTATGATTTGTGACGTCAAAGTTGATTTTCAAAGCAAAGATCATGAATATTTAAGTTTAGTAATATTACTTTACTAATGAGTATTTCTATAATATATCATTTACCAGCTTAAATAATTTATAAGCTACTACTTAAAGCATAAAGTTAAACAATATATTTCAAGTAGTAGCTTGAGAAGCGCTAACCACTGCCCTTTTAATGTATAAGTAAGTTTATATAAGCTATTATGTTTTTGTTTATACATAATATCAAATCAACTTGAACACTCTTAGGTTTTTAACTATGCAAGTGATGTAAAAACACTAACATTTAAAGAAAATTAGACTTTGTATAGGGCAGGATGCGCGGTACACTGGAGCGAAACGGTTGCGCGTCGTGGGATCGAACATTCGCGATAAGTTCGGTATAATTCATTAATTTGTCGTTTAAATTGATTTCTTTGCTAACCATGGAGTAAGGTTCATTTTACATTAATGAAAACGTTGAACTTACGCTCTTAAAGTACGGTAAGATATTTCGTTTCGGAGCTATAAAGAATAGATAAAGTACTCTTAAGTACTTGCACAACTTTGAACTGTTAAACGATTGGCAGAAGGTTGATAATAGGAAGATGCGAGTGGCAATTCGAACATTCTGGAATTTGCTTAGCGGTTCCATGAACCGCTTCCGCCGCTGCTCCTTCCGTCTCGGGTTGCTGGCTGCAGACATTCTTGAGCCGGACACCGGCTTAAGAATGCAGACCAGACGAGTACGTTGATAGCATGATAGCTTAATGCACCCTCAGGCCAACCGCGCTCGTACCGGCATTCCAGGCATATCCAAGGTTGATCTTTTCACTAAATCTTCATTATACTATTACATCCAAATATACTTAGATACATACTCAATTCTCGTTATCCATTTTATAATAAGATTCTATAGAAAATGTGATGTCATGACTGTTTTTATCTATGTCTACAGCATATCGTGGGAATGTTTATGGGATGCGATTTCGTATCTTTATGAATTAAGCGCTCCATTCAAGGAATGTCGCTTGACGTTGGTCCCACGCACATTTGTGACCCATGTGTTTCATTATCATCAAGAGGGGGCTGTTTTTATTAGTTCTGTTTCGTAGTAATGACTTTTTTAATTTTGTAAGTATAATTAAATATGTACCTATATAAATTATAAACCTGTATTTTATGAATTACTAGCGACTCACCCTCGCTCCACTCGTATCCGTCCATAATTACGTTTTATCCTTTAGTATAGATTTCGAGATATTTTTCCCCAGTAAAAATCACCATGATGACCCGGATAACCAGCAATCATCATACCAAATATCATCTAAATCTGTCCAGTGGTTTTCTCGTGAGTCACAGACAGACAGATAGACAAAAATTCTAAAAACTGTCGATTCGGCCTCTGTATCGATAATAATGACTATTTCAATAAAATTTTCAAAAAAATATTTAATGTACAGATTCGACTCAGTTAGAATTTTATTATACATATATGTATCGAAGAAAATAATACTCTTTTATATCCTATTATAATATATACAATATATATTTAAAAAAATCTCTTAAACAATATCTATAAGAATATAAGAATACGCATGTATCCTTTCTATAATAACAAATATTTTTTTAATTAGATTAACATATGTATGTTGCATAATTAAAGCCCATCCAGACAACACCGATTTGTCAATGAGACATTCAAGAGTGATGGGAATATTTTTTCGGGAGCGTAACGGTTTTTGTATTATTTTTTTGTCGTCTTGGGCCGTGTGAAGGAGCCTCAATGGATCCAGTATGTGAACAAGTCGGCCAAATTCATAAGACCTCCACGTATACGCACGTCTCCCCCTGCACAAGTATAAAATTTTAGAATGAAAGGGACGGGGAGGTTCAGTAAATGATGGTATTATGCTAGGCATTTTCAATGAACTGTTCCTTTGAGCTACGACGTTCTTTAAACTCATTGTTCGCTGTTTTCACACGGACAAATTTCTTAGAATAATCGTGGGAGGAAATAATATGTTCTCAGAGCAAAGTACTTACTAATGAATAATTATAATAAAAACGGAATGTTATAGTTTCAGTGTAAAATCTTTTAACTTATTTGTTTCTAGAAATGATTTACATAGATTTTATATTTTATTATTATATCATAAAATAATGTAATTAATTTAAATATAAAATTTTGTTTACTTTAAATATATTTATTCAATGAAATTGCAGTTATCTAATTAATATCTCATTTAGTTCAAGCTTGGCCAATGGTTCAGCTACGGTAATAGACGGTTATTCCCAAGAAATTGTGCAAAAACTAGGAGCTCTTGGTGTGGAATGCAGGTCTGTCCGTCCTTCAAACTGTTAAGGGACAACGACTCGGCCTAAATTACCGTAACGTGCTGCTGCTCGTTAAATATAAATTAGTTGATTGGTAAAAATCCCAATGGGCAACTTAAAATTGGTTTCATTTAGATTATTTTAAGTATGTTTATAAATTTTCAGTACTACTTTACATTATTGTTAGTTAATGTAACAAAATACATTTACTTTTAACTGCTCCCACCGTCGAAGATCTTTCAATAATTTTTGATCACGATCATTTTAAATCACTTTGTTGGACAATAATTTCCATATCTATAAGATTAATTGTTTAACTAGTATTACAGCCTTAATTAAATTATAGACTTGACATAGACGTGTATTGAATTTTGTATTTGGTCGCACTATAGTCCTGGTCCCCATAAGAAAGTCATGAAAAAAGTCAAGAGAAAGGTAATTAAAAGTATTAAAATCGGACGTTTTCTTATATTTCTAATTACAAAATTTATAATGTAGGTAATATAATGTTCTCAAGGATTACAAAATATTGGGAATCTTCAAAATAATTAGGAAATCTTCGAAAAATTTTATCAGGAATTTCGGATTCATACATACGCCTAAATGTACATCAACAAGTTTATCACCGGACTATCGACGAATTACCATGCTCGGATACCATCTCCAGGAAATCATTTTAATTTATTATTGTTGAAGTGAATATTCTTGAGTATAAATGTACTAGAATGAGATAACAGAGAATATAAAAGTTAAGACGATGGAGGTGCAATTGTTACAAATAACAGAATATGCTCTATTGAAGTAGCCGACAAAAATAATCTTGAACATAAAACTTTTTATAGTGACTTATATAAAATATCTCAGCGTTGTAATTGGAATTTATAGATTGTCTAGAGACAAAAGATTATAGAGAGAAAACATTATTACACCTTCAAATGAAACGCTTTTACAAGTTTACTTTATGGGAAATGATACAGCCAGATACAGATACAGATAATGAAATAACCGTTCTCAAAATGGCTCTCATAGTAGTTCTAGCTATGAATTATTGTATTATTCGTGCTATTTCTCTTCCATTTCCAATTTTTTTTCTCGTAAATTGTAAGCGCTCAGTCTTGTTTTTTGATTAAGTAGTTATATTTTTAACGCACTACTATATATTTATAACAGTAGGTATATTTTTAAGACATTTTAGCAATATATGTACTAACAAAATTTCGCATAGTACCTCGGTGTTTGCCCTTTTCACATGGCATATGGCCGCGCGGGTGTCGGTCGCGTTCTCACGGGAACGCTCGGTGATTGCACCGCATTACGCTCTGCACTGGGCCGCTACAACTAACAACCACGAACTGTGGACACGATAAGTTAACGATAAAATGTAGACAAATAATATTAATCGATAATTATATTATTATACTATTTGTAGAATTCCAAAATTATTTTTTCATGTAACATACCTTTTTTATTAAGAGATTGCTAAATATTCTGTAGGAATTTTTATTTCTTCGTTATACTAATTATTCTTTCTGTCGAGCAGATATCAATGAACTGATTTATTATTTATATCGCTTTCAAAATAATTCTTGGGTTCTTAATTCGAAATGAAAAATTTAGCCTACATAGAAACAAATATAAACTTCTTGTTAAACTTTACCTTAATAAAATAATATCATGCCCTCTCCATAATTATTTTATAGTTGCCATGTTGTTCAGAGTTCCGCGACTCCATTGCAAAGCGTCGAGTCTCGTTTCCAATCAACAATGGAATGCGTCTACTTTTTGGTCGTTCCCCTGCTCAACTCCTATAGCATCCAGTTTTTATCCCGTTTGTACTTACAGCCTTTCTGCGTTCGGAAACAAGGCCCTTACATTACCTTGACAAGTTGACAGTTACGTGGAAACATTATAATTTGAACCTTATTTTCCGTATTTGCTGTATCAGTGATGTTTAATTTTAAATATAGTCATTATTATTAATTCTTTAAAAAATAGGGTATTTAATTTTACTGTTTTAAGTAAGCACTTCTATTGTGCAGACAACCACATGAGGTAGCCATTTAGAAACATAAATCTAAATTTTGAATTTCATATATGTAAGTATAGATTATTATTGTTTCTCATAGTGCCAGTGCCATTGCACTGAACTCTTATTTACCTGAGTAATAGAGCTAAAATCTTATCGGCTTACAACCGAGTTCACCGAGGTATGTTTTCACTTTACACACGACTTGACTTCTAATTAAATAATAACAAGAAATAGTTGATTTAAGGCTAATCAACATCTCACCTTGTCGTGGTGGGGGGGCTCAGTAGTGCCCGGCAATCCAACCGGGCGCGAAGCCAAGAAACACACAGGGAGGTTGCCCACTTCGGTGGGCGGTGTACCATGCGGGTTGCTCCTGGTACTTCTCTGATAGCAGAGTGGACTGTGGAGCAACCCTATGGTTGTGGTGGTCTGCTTCGGCGAACCTGCCGTCGGGGCGTCGTAGTTGAATGCGTAAGCGATCCTGCGACGCCCCATTTAGACGGGGGAAGGTTTTGTTGGGTTTTAGTGGGTAGTACTGGCTGTATTACGCCGGTGAGTCCCACACGTCGTGCGTAAATGCATTTCCCAACGTTAAAAAAAAAAGGCTAATCAACATCAGCGAGGAAATCCTCCAGGAAAATGAGTTTTACTACTTCAACTACTACAGATTAGGTATATGTCATCACATAGGTATATAACCTACATATAATTATTATTAAAGCTATACTTATTCCGACAATTATAAGATCACTGATAAAAAAATTTACTTATAAACTATGCCTGGTTTTTGTGTCTGTTAATTCTAATACATTTATTCATATAATACGCTGTAATGTAAAACTCTATCGAAATCCTTCCACCCATCATATAATGCGAGTGTAAATCATTTTTTAGGGTTTCATAGCCAAATGGCTAAAACGGAACCCTTATAATTTCATCATGACCGTGTTTCCGTCTGTCAGTATAGGTATAATAGCCATTTTACTCGAAAACAATCGACACTACATACCTAGTTGAAATGTGGTAGAGAGTTATGTAATGTACTACTTGCGAAATCTGTAGTCTAATTACAAAATATTAAAGAATAGGGTTGTGCATCCATACATGTAACTAATGCTTGACAACAAAACTTTAACTCCACAAAAGCGTGGGGTGTGGGTATCTCTACATAGGTCATTGAAATTCAGGTCGATATTTATAAATAACTATTTTGCAGAATAGTCAACCCTTTTTTTTTAACGTTGGGAAATGCATTTACGCACGAGGTGTGGGACTCACCGGCAAAGCCAGTACTACCCACTAAAACCCAACAAAGCCTTCCCCCGTCTTAATGGGGCGTCGCAGGATCGCTTACGCATTCAACTACGACGCTCCGACGGCAGGTCTGCCAAAGCAGACCACAACAACCACGGGGTTGCTCCAAGGTCCACTCTGCTATCAGAGAAGTACCAAGAGCAACCCGCATGGTACACCGCCCTCCGAAGAGGGCCATCTCCCACCGCCCACCGAAGTGGGCCGGTTGGGTTGCCGGGCACTACTGAGCTCCCCCACCACGACAAGGTGAACGCACGTTGGGGGGGAGAATAGTCAACCCTTCTCTAACACTACCTCAGCTAGAAATGTGTCGATCTTAAGCTAACTAACCCATTTTAAATAAAGCTATTCTCCCTCCGGTACGCACTTCAAAGTTCAATTCCTGAACCACTTTACAAAAGTCAAATAAAAATTCCAAACACCCTATTTAACCAAAACTATTTTTCTTAAAGTGACGACTTACATTACGAACCACTTCATGTTTGTCAAATAAAATATAATACATATAATTATTCTGAAAGAATGCTACACTTGCTCAAGCGACAATTTTAAAACCCACTTGTATGGAAGTACTTCATATGCGTTGAACAAAAATACCAACTCTTCATCGATCTTAAGCTGCCTTCTTTACGTAAATAACCTACGTTAAAATAACAATATTTAACAATACAATGCATATATAACAATATTATGTAATAAAATTCCGTTTCACGCATTTGGTTAGCAGTTTGGGTGAATAGTTAACTATTTTCCTCATATTATACTAAATACAAACTTATTTTTGCCGTCATAAAAATGAATTTTATAGATTAGTGTTTTATTTTACTTCTGTTGTAACAAATTAGTACGTTAAAAAATAAAATAAATTTATATTTCATACTACGGAACCTTCGATGAGCATATAAGTCTCGCACTTGTCCCATTTTTTAGCCGACTTCCAAAAAGAAGGAGGTTATCAATTCGTCAGTTTTTTTTTATGTTATGACTAGTGACTTAAAAAATTTTTTGACCGCGGATAATTGTTTACATTATCTATCTATCCAGTAAGCCCATGATTTTATTCATTTCTCAAATTTTATATTTAATATGTTAAAATAATTTTATTGATAAAGTGTCTGAAGTATGTAGTAGTAAGCATGGCTTGAGCAAGCCAGAACACCTGTTTTCGGTCGTGTTTTCATCGCTGTGGGAAAATTATAAATATTGGCAATACAGTTCCGGAAGTTGAGACGTTTTTATATAAAATTTCCTCCTTTTGAATTTTTTTTTAGATTTGTAAAATCCCATTTAGTTTTTGAGATATTTGCAAAAAACTAAACCCGTTTTTTTAGTAAATTGTTTATAACTTTTGCAATTTTTGTAAGCGGAACTTGATTTTTTTTCAAAAATCATCTACATACCATTGCGAATCGAATGACTCCTCGCTCATTTTTTCCGAGACTGCTGAAAAAAGTTGACCAAAAAGTTGTTGTTGCTGTCATTTAGAGAAACATAGCATAAGTTCATATATGCTTGGCAACCTTGTTCGCGAAGAAAATTTACATTAGGTACTAGTATATTTACTCAGGTGAACCCAGAGCGAGTCACTAGCACAAAATAAAAAGATATTACATTAAAATAAATTAAAGTCATCTCAAAAAATATATGCGATTTTTAATTCATCGTTAAAAAGAAATCCACTATAGTTGCTTTTTAAAAACAG